GCTCTGGCTCCGGGGACGGTCGGCGTGCCCCGGCGCGCGGGGGTCTTTCCGCTGCTTCGGCCAAGACCCCGGCCTCCTCCACCACAGCCAGACGAGACCCTGTCGGAGAGACTCTGGGGTCTGACGGAGATGTTTCCGGAGAGGATCCGGTCCGCGGCCGGAGCCACTTTTGATCTCTCCCTCTTTGTGGCTCAAAAAATGTACAGGTAAGGGACAAGGGCAAAGACACCGGGGGGGTGCCTGGGGTGCCGTGAGGGAACGCGGGCGTTGGAAGGATCATACCTGGGTTGGAAGCCCGCCTGCCACCTAGATCGTGGAGTGACCTTGAACGTCTGTTCCCTTAGCCTTAGTCTCAATTTCCCTGTAAGTGGGGATTCTTGTTGGGTAGGATCGTTGTTAGGCTCGTTTCAGATTGTGTGAGATAATGAACGTATCGGTATCTTTGTAAGAACTCAGGAGAACGTTAAAATTGCTGTCACTAGCTACACAGCTCCCAGAACTCCTCCTGTTTCTGGTAGGAGTATGGTGCAAGAGTTGGGTAGAGTATGTTTATCAAAAACATTGCATCGGTGGCGTGAGGAATTTGGTTCCTTCTTGGTGCAGCTGTCTGGCTTTGCCTCCCATCCTGCTCACAATCCCTTCGTAGGTTTTCCAGGGCAGCCTTGTGGATCGGGACAACTTCCTTCATGATCCTGGTTCTTCCTGTTGTCTTTGAGACTGAGAAGTTGCAAATGGAGCAACAGCAGCAACTGCAGCAGCGGCAGGTGAGCTCAGACAACACCTGAGTAGACCAGCACTTAATGTGCGGGTAGAGCTTGGGATCTGGCCCATGTGTTTTAGGTTCTTGATTGTGCGGCCACCATTGCTTTTGTAGACCTTGTCTGCCCCCATTAAACAGGAGGAAAAATGAGATCCCCAGGTCTGCACAGCGCCTTACATCTTTCCTTTCTGTTCCAGATACTCCTAGGGCCTAACAGGGCTGTCAGGAGGAATGCCAGGGGCTCTACCTTCACTTCCTGGAAAGATCTAGATTGTTACTGCTCTATCTGACCTGTCTTGGTGGGAAAAGTTGAAAATTCAATACTGTTTGAACTGCTGATTTTTTTCTTATTCTTTTTGGCACAAAAAATAAACCTGGTTGGGAAAATGTCCCGTTCGTTGTCTCATGGAGACTCCCAACTTGCAGCTGTGCCCTCCAAGCTTTCCTGGCTGGCTTCTCTCCTCACTCTGACACCACAGTGCATCCATGCAGATGGTCACTCCAACTCCGGCCATCCCCTCACTAAATCCCTCCTCACCAGAAGGTCTCCTCAGTGTCTGCTTGTGGAGTAGGAACTGATGCCACTGGAAAGGATGTACCCCTGACCATTAACGACGGTTTTGTTTTGACATGCACTATATGAAATACAAAATGCATTACAGCTGGAGTGTAAAAGCAGCCACTGTGAATTTGTATGTTGGAAACGAGGGAGGGCCAGCAGCAGTTTTAACCACAGGATGGGTACTGTGGAGGGCAGAGCAGGAGCTCACGTCCTATGTGCATTTTGGCCATTAGACCTGTGTGTCTAAAAGAAAAAAAAGTCAGTGCTCACTTTTGTAATTAAATATTTAAAATGATTCCAGCCAAGTGTCAAGCATGTGTTTCTGGATATGCACCTCAAAACTTAGACCATTTTAGAAGGACAAAGACACGAACTGCCCGAAAGCATAACATATCTCTAAAAGATGACTTGTGATTTTAGTGAATTCCTTCTAAAGCAGCATCACACATTTACCCTTTTCCCCCTCTTTATGTACATAATTACAGAATTTAGGCAGACAGATTTATGTATGGAGTTTTCCACTTTTAATATTTGGTTAAACAAAATACATCTTCTGTAAACAAACCCAGCACAAGGCCAACAAAAACAGGGGTAGGGGAAGATAAAAGCAAGAAAAACAAAAAGCCTAGGGTCACCCCTTAAGGGCATCAGGGTCAGGCCTGCTCCCTTCCTTAAAGGAAATAGGGCTTTTTGCCCTTAGGCATCAGCATGGGTCCCTGTTCCCAAGCACCAGAATTGGATATGAACAGAGAAACCAGCCCTGAAATGTTTAAGCGTCTTTGCATATCCCATTGGCTCATGGACTCCAAGTACATGGGGACTCCTTTGAAGTGCCACTTGCACAGGCCCGAGCACACTGGAGAGTTTCCTCCTCTTCTGAGGAAATGGCTTACTATCTGTCACTGACAGTGCCAATGGACCCAAGCTCCTGCTTATGACAATCAGCAAGGCTGGCTGGAACTTCTGGCTGGTGGTGGTTGGAATGTCATTGTGCAGGGATAAAGAGCTGTCTGTGGAGCCAAGCATGTCTGATGTAGAAAATGGTGCAAGAGATTGCAGTCAGTTGCTCAGACAGTGTAACGCAGTAGCCGCTTGGTGGCCTCTGTTACTCAGCATAAAAAACGGCCTTGTTGGATTGAAGATAAATGTGCAGAAAAAGTGCTGGTGTAAACATGCACTCCAGTCACAGTGGGGAGGAGAGAGCCTCAGCTTCATCCTGTTTCACTTGCTCAGGTTTGACATGCAAGCCCCAGGCTGGCTTTGCTGCTGGAGAGAAGTCTGGCTAGTGGAGCAGCTCTCAGGCCTGCCAAGACCATTGATCTGAAAGGCCTGGACGGGCCATCCCTGCCTGCCCGTCTGCCTTGAGGCAATACAACCACTTTGGAGACATAGTGACTCCCAGCCTAGGACTTCGATTCTAGCTGTTCTCTTCACAATACTTTCCTCACCCAACTGTTTTAAACTAGTGGAATTTGATGTCGAAGGCAGGCTCACTTTTTCCTGACTTGGTCAGAGTGGGCCAACAGGAAAAACTGCCCTTTTGCTCATCTTGTGCCCCAGAGCCTCCTAACTTAATGAAATGGCAGGGACCCTGCTGGATGAGGCAGACAGGTTGCCCATGCCCGCCTGGTTTCGGCCATGTCTTCTTAGGTATCTAGCTCACTCTGTCATGCTAGAATGCTACAGGATTCAGCCACTCTGAAATAGTAGAGAACTTTTCATTATAAAACAAGAATAGCCATAAACCATCCTTAAAAATAGGATAAGGGATGGCATTGAGGGTTGCAGATGGCATGATGTAGTGCTGCTGGGGTTTTCGAGATGGTTCCTGAGAAGCCTTTGCTCTGGGTCCTTCAAACCAGTCACAGGAGCTTTGCATGTCCTGTGTCTTCAGACCCACTAGTTGCCAGGAAAGGGGAAATGGAGGCAGCATCTCCAGGTAAGTCAGAGCAGCAGTGAACTCCAGCAGAGCCTCTGTCAAGTCCTCAGAGGAAAGGGAAAAATAAGCTAGGGGACACCCCCCCACCTTTTTCCTTGTCTCTTCAAACAAAACGAGGGTCTTTCATTGCTTGCCCTAAGCACAGAGTTCCTACCTTCCTTTCCCAGGAATGAGTAACGTTGGTTGGTTCTTGTAACATTTCACACCTCTGGCCTATTGCACACTGTCAAATCTGAGGGAAAAACCCGATGAGATGTCTGGGGAAGTGGCAAGGGCAGACCCAATGTATAGGGCACAGCACATCATGGAGGATTTAGGGGTCGAGGTGAGGGAAGCTTGGCAGAACTGTTACATATCAGCCCTCCAACTCTGATGGGCCTCCACCTCTTCTGGTACCACCAGCAGGAGTTCACAGTTCTTTCCTCGCAAATGATGTTTTAGAAATTTCCTATTGGGGGAAAAAATACATGAAAGAGAATGAGATGCTGTTAAAATGGCAAATTCCAGTCTTGGGGGCCATATGTTCACCAGTAACCTCATCAATTTATACCCTTGGCAATCCTAAAAAACACTCCCATGGTGATCTGCTCTTGGTGGTTCCACTTTTGGTTTCCCCTCAATCTGTCTAGTTAAGATTTCCAATATGAATTTCTCCTATTGCTTAAAGTAGCTAGCTCTGTGACAAACAGAGCCAGCCGAAAGTACTCTAAGTCTAAAGCAAAAGACTTCTAATTTGGGGGGGTGGGGGTGGGGGTTTCTTCTTTGGGAAGTTTAGTCCTCTCTGCCCTGAATGTCTTCCTTCCTCTGAACTGGCAGCTATACTGTCACAGCCAAGTGTAGATATAATTACAAGGCCAGTCCTGCCAGACCGGAAGATCAATATCCCAGGAGCTGGAGCTTCATGGGCTATCAAAGATTCAGGTCTTTCAAATCTGAGACCTTATGATTCTAAGTGAGGCAGGGAGAGGTCCAAGGAGTTAGGAATTTCAATTCCTTTGCCAAATGATGGAAGATGAGCTTATAGGAGCCCACCCAGCACAACAGCCACCACAGGCACCTGAGCTCGCTCTCGCCTCCAATCCATTCGGGCATCTTCAGCTTGGAGTCAAGGTTGTAGTAGGCACCGCCCACCTCTCGAACACAGATCCAGTGCTGCCTTTTGAGAGGTAACTTCAGTGGACCCCAGCTCAGGCTGGAGGGCAGATTCATGATGAAGCCCATGACATTAGTGAGAGCAATGGCACTGACATCCCTGCAGAAGAGGAACGGTGTCATGTTCCCTGGCTGTCACACAACTGGCCATCTACCTCCCCACACATCCCCTGCGTGCCAGTTCTCATCAAGTCAAGCCTGGTTCAGATTACCTGCGCTTGTCCCACCAAACAGCTTCATAGCCTTTGGTCTGAAGTGCTGCCATAATGACGTTCACATCGTAGTTCCCATTTCCCAGCATGCTCTTCTTGTGGGGGGTCACCATGGTGTTTGGAGACAACCTACAGATGTGAAAGGAGAACTGAGACTTGTTGATCTGCTTAACGCCTCCTGAGCCTGCACTACCAGAGACAGAGAGCACTTTAGGCCACTGTCCCCCAGAGGTTTGTTTACCCCATTCAAGTAAACTAACCAAGCTTCCAACCAAGTATTCTGCAGTCTGGGCTCTTACTGTCCAAGGATTACTTCTTTTTTAATGTAAAATAATAATTCACGACTGGCTGGTGTGGCTCAGTGGTTGAGTGTCAACCTATAAACCAGGAGGTCACCGTTTGATTTCCGGTCAGGACACATGCCCGGGTTGCTGGGCTCCATACCTAGTGGAGGGCGTACAGGAGGCAGCCGATCAATGATTCTCTCTCATCACTAATGTTTTTAACTCTCTTTCTCTCTCCCCCTCTCTGGAATCAACAAAAATATAATAGTAATAATAATAATTCAGCAGTGATGGAGCCTCTTTGCCTGTCATTTAGAAAGTGTGTCAATGGACACAAAGAGTGTTCCATGAAGGCGTCTCGTTTATCCCCAGCCTACCCATGTCTGCCGCCTTTTCCTTGCTGATTTCTCTGCCAGTAACCTCCAGGTCTTTCAAATCTGAGACCTTATGATTCTAAGTGAGGCAGGGAGAGGTCCAAGAAGCTAGGAATTTCAAGCCACTGGAAAATAGTATTTGATATTTTCATTTGCATGGGTAGTATTTTTTATTCTTGTTTTTTTTTTATATTTAAGTGCTTTCCATTTAAAGCTTACACACTTGATAATCATTAATCATTTAATACTCAAAGGCCTACAGGAGCCCAGGCAGGTAACATAAATGTATGAATTTGGGCCATGTATAAAGCAATAAAATGTAGTAAGGCCTAAATGAAACTGCAATGCATGACCCATGTAAAGCATTCCAAATATACATGTGTATGTGTAAAATACTTAAGGATTTTTAAAAATTAAAACACAAAGAATCAATTGAAAGAAATTTTTGTGCCAAACAAAACTGCAGTCTGGTTTGCTCACCCAGCTGAAAGACATTTCTGGCCAGGCCTCTTAGCCACTCCTTCCCCTCAAGGCAAGGTCAGTTCTGAAGGCATTTCCAGTCCTATTACTTTGTTTCATAGGCTTGTCAGGCCAGGACCCGAGGAAAGGCCATCTTGAAGGAAAGGGCAGCACGTGTGGAGGAAGGGAAGTGTGGAATAAATGTGGAGCTGTCACCCTGGTCAGTGGTGCTCAGTGCTTACAGCGTTGGCCCGAAGAGTCTTGGGTTCGATTCCTGGTCAAGGGCATATACCCGGTTTGCAGGTTCGATCCTGGGGCTATCAGGGCGAGTGCTGGAAGCAACCAAACAATGTGTCTCTCACACTGATGTTTCTCCTTCTCCTTCTCCCCCACTCCCCTTCCTCCCTTCCACTCTCTAAAAATCAAGGGGAAAAATATCCTCAGGTGAGGATTAACAACAACAAAAAGCACAGATAGGAGCTGCTAAATGCCATCTCCAAAAGAGGATGGAGACTTTAAGCCAATTCTAAAAACTTAAACAATCTTATAAAAAGTAAAAAACTTGATGAACAAAAATAGAATCAGACATAGAAGCATCGAACAGATCATCTAACGCAGTGGTTCTCAACCTTCCTAATGCCGCGACCCTTTAATACAGTTCCTCATGTTGTGGTGACCCCCAACCATAAAATTATTTTTGTTGCTACTTCATAACTAATTTTGCTACTGTTATGAATCATAATGTAAATATCTATTATTCAGGATGTATTTTCATTGTTACAAATTGAACATAATTAAAGCATAGTGATTAATCACAAAAACAATATGTAATTATATATGTGTTTTCCGATGGTCTTAGGTGACCCCTGTGAAAGGGTCGCTCGACCCCCAAAGGGGTCGCAACCCACCGGTTGAGAACCGCTGATCTAACCTCAGAGAAGGTAGGGGACGGGGGAGGGTAAGAGATCAACCAAAGAACTTGTATGCATGCATATAAGTAAAACCCATGGACACAGCCAGTAGGAGGGGGAGGGCATGTGCTGGGGGGTGGGGACGGCTGGGAAGAGGGCAATGGGGGGGAAAAGGAGACATATGTAATACTTTAAACAATAAATAATTTAAATTTTTAAAAAAAGTAAAAACTTCTCTATATACAGCAAACATACCAGATCATTTTTTCAACATAAAACATATTCCTGCCACTGCTTAAACCCTCTAATGGCTCCCCAAACACTTAAATACAACCTACACTACTTCCTCTGGCCTGCAAGGCCCTGGGGTCCTGCTGACCTCATCGCACCTCTTACCACACAGACCTCTGCTACTTGAGCACACAAGCTTTCTCACTGAGGGCCTTTGTACTCAATGGCTGCCACTATCTGGAATACTCTTCCCCTAGATCAGCGGTTCTCAACTTGTGGGTCGTGACCACTTTGGGTATCGAACGACCCTTTCACAGGGGTCGCCTAAGACCATCGGAAAACACATATATAATTACATATTGTTTTTGTGATTAATCACTATGCTTTAATTATGTTCAATTTGTAACAATGAAAATACATCCTGAATAACAGATATTTACATTACGATTCATAACAGTAGCAAAATTAGTTATGAAGTAGCAACGAAAGTAATTTTATGGTTGGGGGTCACCACAACATGAGGAACTGTATTAAAGGGTCGCGGCACTAGGAAGGTTGAGAACCACTGCCCTAGATCGTCACTTGGTCTGCTCGTTATTTGAGTCTCAAGTATTATTGCCTTAGATGCCTTTTCTGACAGTCCAACCTTAGGTTTCTCCCAGTCACTTCCTATTGTATATACCTGCTTTAATTACAGCCCTTGTTATTACTGGACCTGTCTTCTGATTGTCTGTTTTCCCACACTACAATGACAGCAGGGGGCGCAGTGGCCTTCTCTATCTTGTGAATGTTACATCACCTGGGCTCAAAGAGTGCTTAAGGAGTGTTGTTGAAATGTTCTCTGTATTTATTTTGTTATCTCTTTCCCTGAAAATAGCAGTGGACCCTTAAAATGAAAAGAGCTTATGTGCTTGTCTCCAGAACTAGCAAAAGGGTACCTGAAGATATTACATTCCACTCTGCAACCAAAATTTGTTTTCTCTGTAATAACTACCATTTATGGGAAACTTCTGTGCCAAGCCCATGACATGCTTTCATATGTATCTAATTTAATCCTCACAATAAGCCCATAAGGCTATGAATTATTTACATTTTATAGGTTTAAAAAACTCAAGTTTGAATGACTAATCCCTGATCACTTATCTTTCAAGTTTGAACGAGGATTCAAACTCAGATTTGTTGGAATCCAACGTGTGCCTGTTTTTTTAAAAAATATGTCTTTATTAATTTCAGAGAGAGGAAGGGCAAGGAGAGATAGATAGAAATATCAATGATGACAATCATCGACTGGCTGCCTCCTGCATGCCTCACACTGGGGATTGAACCTGCAACCTGGACACGTGCCCCGACTAGGAATCGAACCATGACCTCCTGGTCCAAAGGTTGATGCTTAACCCTGAGCCACACCAACTGGGCAGTTGTGCCTGTCTTATAGCAAGGACCCAAGAACAGAGTGGTGGTGGCGGTAGGTTGATAAGAGGAAAGGCCAGCTGAGCCCCTGGGGCCTGGGCTTGAAATGTAGCTTAATAGGACAAAGGCTCTAGGTGGGTTCTTGGGCACTTGGATTAAATGCAAAAGCATATGAAAAAAAGCCCAGCTCAAGAGAGATCCAGTTCCTTTCCTCTCACCAGTTTTTCAATAGCTTCTCATCCTTTCAGTGTAGTCTCTAGCCAGTGGATGCAGGGAGACTTCAACAAAGAAACTGCCGAGTCTTCCTCCTTTTTCACCACCTAAGTCCCTACCAGGCTCAAACCTTAGAGCTGAGCTTTCCCAAGTGTGTTCCCAGCGGACCACAGAAAACATTCGATACAATGGCTGAATGAAACAAGAAAACAGGTTTCCTGCAAGTTTTCTTGAACCCCTAATGTGCTAGTATTCACCTTGAGTCTTGAGGACATGTTTGACCACACAAATGTTATTTCTGGCCTCTCCTCTTTTATCCTTTCTGTTCCAAGTCAAATCCTTTAGGCTCATCCTCGCATCCTATCTCCTCCATGGAATCTTTCCTGGCTCCTTTGTAATAGAAAAAGGAGGGAGATTGGGAGGAACTTCCATGCAGCATCCATGCTAATTGTGAGATTTAATCTCCATGCCTATTAGCTTATCTGTAAAAATGGGAATGATTCCTATCTTAGAGGACCACTGAAGAATGCAGTTTTTTCCATACATGTGCAAACAAATAGAAAATTCCTGAAGGAAATGGCTCTTCTACTCTGTATCCCTCACAGCTAGGCACTGGCAATTGAGTAAACATGTGCTGGTCAAACTGATCAATACAGGAAATGCTGAGGATGGCTTCCATCTCGTTCCCAGAGTGGTTATTTGAACAAGTGGGGCCTACCCAGTTTACCTACAACACTAGCACTTGCTTTTGTTAATAGTTGTGTTAGCTACTTTTATAAGCTTTATCACTTAATCCTTCCAACAATCTTGAGATAGAGATTAATCCCATAGTGTAAATAAGGAAACTACGTACAAAGAGGTTACAGTGATTTGCTCAGTCATCTACAGCTAGTGAGGGGCAGAGGTAGGATTCAACTTCCTAACTCTGAGCAGAACTAAGGCTACACTGAACAGCCTCCTGGATATTTCGATACACTGGCCCCACTGAATTCCATAAGATCCTGTTCTGTTTCAATCGATTGTTTTCCTGAGACTCCCTGGTAAATTCTTGTTCAGGACTGACTCTCTTTAATTTCATTAGAAATTCTGGGCCACAAAGCAGGTTTCTCACTGTTGTCACAGCCAAGAGGTTGTTAGATTTGAAGTGATCTACAAGTGAGAAGACAGGCTCTAGTCCAGGTCTCACACCTCAGATAAGTTCCAGATCCTCTCGTGGTTGTCACTACGTCTGGCTATACTGATGAGTTCAGATTTTAAAGAAAAGTAGCTGTGGAGACATTCATTCATATTCCTTTTCTCCCATAATTATTATTTTCCTTTTTATCAGTCTTAAGAGATGTGACATTAGAAAATATGACTTCCTGATGTCTTTAAATTATTAAGTGTAAAGTACAGATCACAGAAGTACTCTGTAGTAGATGTTGGCTATGACGGTGATGGTGATGATGTTTGGCCCTTGGATGAGATAATTCAAAATTCTAGGGGTTAACACTTAACATCTTTTCTCAATTTACAACCACCATACTTTTACTTTTTTAAAAACTGGTCCTAGAGAAAGGGAGGGAGAGAGAGAGAGAAACATCAATTGCCTCCCGCATGCACCCCCACCTTTGGTGTATGAGACAAAACTCTAACCAACCGAGCCACAGCAGCCAGGGCACAACCACCAAACCTTTATATGTGGCTCCTTCCTATTAAATGGCTCAGGGACCATTTAATAGGAAGGCAGGAGGACTTCCCCTCTATGGTAGGGAATGCTGGTTGCTCATCAATATCTACAATCTTTGTTCTTTCCAGGTTGCATTAGATTTTTTCCCTAGTACCAAGCTAATTTTCATCTATTTAGATTTTAGCAGCTATTTTGAGAGGGAAACACATACTTAGCTGCAAGAACATTTGATCATTGAAAAATTGAGATGAATCTAGTGAAAATGTTTGAGACCTGAGGATTTTCAAAATAACCTTGCAAAGCTGCTGCCTTATCATTTAACTTCTAAGTCCTTTCTTTTCAAAGCATAGACATACATGATAAAATGTATGAGATCAAATTTCCACATGAATACTATTTCTATCTTTTCTCTAATTTCACATGTTGAAAAGTGACCCTTTTTGTGCCTCTTTTTGCTATCACTGTAGACTACCACTATCTCCAAATCTTGGGCCCAGCCTGCCACACACCTCTGACTCCTCTCTTCCTCGTCCCCATGTTGCTACCAAGTCATTAGCTTAGTTCTTTCTAAGTTCCTATTCATTTTTATTCCAAACATGAGTCATTTCATAGGCACAACTGTACTGAAACTCCACCCTGCTTTTGTATTTCTCCTTTATCTGGCTAAAATTCAACTGCTAGGAAGAACTTCCTTCTCAACAAATGGCATTAATGAAATTTTTTCTCATTTCTACTATTCATTAGTCACATCTTCAAAAAAGCAAAGAACTTTAGATCTGGGAATTTAAAATTATCTAGTAAAACCTGTCAACTTTACTGTTCTTTCTGTTAGGACCCAAATAGGTCATCTTTTCTTTTAGATTGTCTAAATTCCATGCTTCTAATTTGCGTCTGTTCTGAAGGCCTGGCCAATGTGTATCTCCGAGATGTACCTCTCAGCGGCTGAATTCTTTTCAACTTGTTTTCTCTACAGTGCCCAGCAGTGCCTGGCACACTGCAGGCAGCCAGTAAATGTTTATTTAAAAAATTCAATTTTTTCTCTCTCACCTCTTCTCCTTTGCTTTTTCCTCGAATCCCTTTCATGTTTTTGTTTGTTTGTTTGTTTCTATTCATCCACACAGAATCTTTCCATACAAAATAGTCTATATAGAATTCTTGGAGTGGGGACAGAGTATGTTCTCTTTGTGTACAGAGTTGCTATTACTTTAAGGTGGATCTTTACATTGTGCTGCTAGGGAAGTGGGGAGTGTAGTACAATTTGCTAAAAGCAAGTTCTATTCCTTTAAAGCCAGGAAAGAACTCTGGTTCCATGTTAATGTTTAGCAAGTATTTAGCATTCTTTCATTCAGGGAAAACACAGCTAAAAGAGCCCCACTATTATTTACAGTTTATAATCAAAGTCCACATCTTCAGACTCAGACCCAACTTACTAGCAGAGTGAACAGCTACTGATGATATAATTGTTCTGACATTCCTTTCCAATACTCAGGGAGCAGCAGAGCAGTTAGGAGGCCCAGCAGTTACAAAGCTTGGGTCCAAATGTTGCCATTAATAGCTCTGTGCCATGATTTTCTCATCTGAAAAAATGGGAAATAACAGAATCTATCTTTTAAAATCAATGTGAGGAATGACTTAACACAAGAAAACAGTGCTTTGCACAGAGTGAGCGTTCACCTGTGTTAGTGATTGTCATCATTTCAGATCGGGGCCAAATTTATAGAAGTGAAAAACTTTTGAATGAACACATAGAATCTTGACAGTTGAAATTTACTAGTGAGTGAAACTGGGCAGATTGCTTAAACTGAATCCTTGGATCAATATAATAAGGTTGTTGCAAGATTGCTACATATTGCCCTAGCCGGTTTGGCTCAGTGGATAGAGCCTCTGCCGGAGGACTGAAGGGTCCCAGGTTCGATTCCACTCAAGGGTATGTACCTCAGTTGCATGCTGGACCACCAGCCCTGATTGGGGTGCCTGTGGGAGGCAGCTAATCGATGTATCTTTCTCACATTGATGGTTCTCATTCTCTCTGTCTCACTCCCTCCCTTCCACTCTCTAAAAAAAAAAAAATCAATGGTGAGGATAACAAACAGATTGCTACATATTACCAAGTACTGTACAAAGCACATTCAACTACTCACTGTGAGTCCTTTCCTTCTCCCTAGATTTAGGTTAGAAAATAATTCGCAAATATCCAATTAAAAAATATGAATAAAGAAATATGAATGGCTGGTGAAAGGAAGCAGTGTAATGGATTGGCCTCCTTTCTACTCTTTTCAGTATCATGACTTGATGATCTGAGACAAATTATCTCACTTGCCAGGGCCCGATTCCTGAAGAGAGGTCATTCTATTTGCCAGGTAATGGCCATAACGCAAATGACACATTTGCACCGCTAAGGCATAACTATGGTTATTATTGGCAGAGGAAAACAATTTACTTTCATTATAATTTTGTCAACACCCTGGGATTAACATTCCTTTAAGAGAGGTCTATGGTTCTTTCAGGGTAAAAAGTCTACACCTATGTGGGGACCCTTTCCCCTCCCTAGGTGGGAGTCCACTCTGTGGGACTCTTTCCCTCTCCCCATGGGGGAGTCTGTACTTGTTCTTCAATAAATCTCCACCTTTGCTATACAAAAAAAAAAAAAGTCTACACCTATGGACTTTCACCCCAAAATAGATTGTTTCCAGTTGTAATACAGGCCCTTATGGCACAATAATTTTATCTCTGAGTGAAGGGAGAAAAGGGTCTTCTGAAACTGCCAATATGCACTGCTTAAAGAATTCTTCCGCTTTATCTGCACTGAGCTGAGTAGGCCTTAACACTTCCTGGCTGGAGGAATCAGACAGGCTCACTGCTGCGGGCTGCAGACGTGCTGACATGACCTGGTGATCTGAGATGTATTATCTCACCCGCCAGGGCCTCGTTTCCTGAAGAGAATTCCTTCTGCAGGAAAGAATTCTCAAACCCTTTGATAAAAGAATTTCAGAACATCACAGCAGAGAGAAAAGCAGAACTTCTGTCAACCTGTCAGATAGCATCAATAAGAAAGGGTATCTAGAATGAAGTAAAAAAGGGAGGGGATCAAGAGTCAGCTTCACATCACAGCTTTGCTGCTTAGAAGCTATTTGGACAAATTACCTGACCTTTCTGCCTGTTTCTCCATCAGTAAAATAGAAACAGGAGACCACTGTGAGGAGGGCAGCACAAAACAATATGTGAAAAGCACGAAGGCTAGCACACGGTCTCAAAGAAAGGCTGAGCACCGTGTATACACCTTTCTTTCCTTTTTAAAAAAATATTTATTGATTTCAGAGAGGAAGAGGGAGCGAGAGATAGAAACATCAATGATGAGAGAAAATCATTCACGGGTTGCCTCCTGCACGCCCCCCACTGGGGATGGAGCCCACAACCCAGGCATGTGCCCTGACCAGGAATCGAACTGACCTCCTAGTTCATAGACACCTTTCCAGAGAACCCACAACATCCCCTCTCCGATGACAGGTGACTGAGCAGTACTCATCTTGGCCCCTTCTAGGCTGTAAAGTCCTGAGGGGCAGGACTCGAGAGGCATTAGATAGCACAGCGGTCAACAGCGCCGGCACACACCTGAACTCACACCTGGCTCCATCTCTGGTTGCGTTTGTTCCCTGGGCAAATCACCGCGCTTCTCTGAGCCCTGCCTTCATCTACGATGTGGAAATAACAGCATGTGTCCCACGGCATTGCGGATGCTCTCGGCACCGTGCCTGGCCCGTCAGTGTGCAATAAAAAGCAGTGGTTATCTTTCCAATTCTGTGTCCCTCACTCATCCCTGTTTAACGGTATCTCGCCGACGATACTTTTGGTTGGAAGGTGTAAGGCATGGAGACATCGCTCCACCCACGGAAATAGCAAAAAGTCTCCAGGAACCGAGCAGCGGGGGTCCCCTACCTCTGGAAAATCTCCTGCAGCGTCTCCCGGTTGAACGCGCCGCCGTCCTGGAAGACGTTGTTGAGGGCGTGCAGGGCGCAGAGCTCCCGGCGCTGCTTCTCGTGGTAGATCCGGGGGGGCGCGGCCTGGGGCGGCTCCGGGGACTCCGACTTGGCCTTGTCTCCCCTCCATGGCACGCAGCTCATGGTTTCCGTCTCGGGCTCCGGAGGGGGCTGAAAACACCCCTCCCCTCCCGAGGAAGAGGGCGAGCTTCGGAGTCTGTTCGGATTCCTGAGGTCCACCTTAGTTTCCGGTGCCCATGATTTATGCTTTGTCACGGGGAGAAAGGACTGGAATCAACAGGAAAAACAATCCACCTCTTCTCGATAGAAAAATAACTTTTGAATTAGTGTTTTTCACCACTAATGTCAAAGTGCAGAATTAAAAAAAAAAACAACATAGAAAAACCTAAGACCTTGTTCCCTTCCCCCACCCTCCCCACCCGCCCCCCTCGGGAAAAACCCCCACGGTTTTCTTGCTGTGTTTTCCTTTGTACGAGCCAACCGGGCCTCAACGCAGGAAGACGGGGCGGAACCGGTCACATCGCTCCTTTTCTTCCATTTCTTCCGGACCACAACGCCACTGGCTCGGGAGGCAAGGCCCCGGTGGAGTATAAAACGCAAAATCCGAGCA